CAAAAGCTGGATCTCGGGAAGATCCTCGGAATTGCTGGATCGCTGACGGAAGCATAGTACAACGAACACCGCCGGTCTATTACGCAACAGCTGAAAGCAAGCCTTCGCTCTGATCGTGAATCTTGGTGGTCAAAACAAGCTGATGAGATGGAAGACGCTGCATCAGCTGGCAATTTCCGCCGTCTATTTTGCATCATCAGGGCCACCGGTTGCAATTTCCACGCTATAAGACAGACGATTTGCGAATCATACGGCACAAAGATCACCAACCTTCACAGGCGATTGGGTTGCTGGGCTCAGTATTTCGCTCTTAAATTCAACCACCCAACGCAGTCCCCTGTGGCATCTCCAGCCCCAATGTATGATGCTTGGCCTGTCTCCACAGCCCCCCAAACGAAGCATAGATCCGAGATGAAATCCAATCTTTGAAATGCCGCAAGACTCCGGGTCCCGACAGCCTACCACCGGCTCTATTCAAAGATGGCGGGAGTGTACTTGTCAGCGAAATCCTATCGCTTGCACCAACGTTTGGACTGAGGAGAAGGTTCCGAATACATGGGGAGAATCGGTCATTGTGCCGATTCACAAGAAAGGCTCCCTCGCCGATTGCTGCAACTACCGCGGAATCTCGTTAATCTTTGTCGCATCCAAAATCTTCGTGTCGGTCCTACTTCGCAGGCTTTCAACGACTAGAGAGGCGTTTTCCCGAGAAGAATAAGCCGGATTTCGTCCAGGCCGCGGCTGCATCGACCAAATCTTTACGCTTCGCCAAGTTCTCGAACTTCGTCACACCCACCGGCGGCCAACAATCGTAGTGTTTTTGGACATCCGAGCGGCCTTTGATTCAGTAGATAGATTTGCGTTGTATAACTGTTGACTGAAGAAAGGTGTGCCCGACAAGTTTGTAACCATCTTGAAAGAACTTTACAGTCACACCTCTGGCAAAGTCAGAGCTTATGGCACACTTCTTTTTTGATGTGACCAGCGGTGTCCACCAATGTTGCTTTATTTCACCTTTCCTCTTCAATTTCGCCATCGAAGATGTTCTCCAAAGAGCACTGGAAGGTGTCCGGAACTTTGGTGTTGAGCTCCTCCCAGGAGACAGAGTCACGGACTTGGACTACGCCGATGGTATCGCCTTGCTGGCAGACGACCCACAAACCATCCAGAGCGCTTTGGACCGATGGCGATGGAGGCGTCTAAGTACGGCTTATGCTTCACTCCGGGAAAATGTAAAACGCTGCTTCAGGACTGGAAGGTGCCTGAACTCGCGCTCACCATTGCTGGACATGTTCTGGAGCAAGTCCCTTGCTTTACTTATCTTGGGCGTTGAATCACGGCTGGTGGTGATGTTGGAGAGGAAGTCTCACAACGCACTGCAAAGGCCCGCCGTGCATTCATCAAGCTGAGACGTCTATGGCGTCGTCGTGATATCAGTCTCAAGCTCAAGTGCAGGGTGTACAATGCTTCCGAAGCGACTCTCAGTTTTCGACAATCGTTGTCTACGAAGGATTGCTCGGGTGTGGTGGCAAACCTACTTAGGCAAGACAGAATTGCGAAACCGAGTGCTTAGAGCGAGTAGTGCCAGTCTTCAGAACGTTTTTCTCCGACATCGCACGCGTTGGCTCGGGCACGTTTTGCGCATGCCAGCCCATCACCTTCCACGTGGAGCGTATTTTGCACTCCCAGGGAGCGATTGGAAAAAGTGCCGCGATGGACAGCCAATTACGTGGAGAAGGAGCATGAAGGAGGCAAACTAAATTTTGGCGGCAGTCGGACTAGTACGTCTTCTAGGTTGGGGAACACGAAATGCTGAATCTCCGTGGTTGGAAACATTGGACTTCATGGCCCGCAACAGACATCAGTGGCGTCAATGTTGTTCTGCCATTTTACCATCCCTTCGATGCACACAAAATGTCACAAAAAGCAAAAACAGAAGTATCAAAATTGCGTGTGTGAAACCAACAAATCGTTTCCCATTTTTTCTCGCATTTCGTGTTTCTATCTTCGCCATCTTTTTTCTGTCATAGTCGTGATATCACAAAGTCTGTTAGCAGACTGTGACTATATGTTTATAATTATATATATATATGTATATATATGTATATATATATATATCACTGTGGTCCAACTTGGTACACGGTACCCTCTACCTACCCATAATACTAAGTAATGTATGTGTTTTACTAGGTATGTTTACCTGGTTGGTATTCCGAATCACTGGATTGCGATGTAACATTCGCTGTTCGGTCGCATTTCCACATTCCCGAAGTCTGCATCCTTTGATAATGCTTTCGAAGTCATCCCTCAGAATGACACCATGCCCAAGCGCTGATCTAGATAAAAGCCGTGACGTTTCTGAGAAGATACTCTATTCGATGAGCATCGGAAAACACATTCGAACGATTAAATCAACGGCGCCAACCGTTTCCGAATGGTTAATAGTTTAACTGAAGATCCTAATGTTACGAGAGCAAATTTGGAACAGACGCATAAGCAGGACGGCAATGCAAACTCATAGCTAGCGGTGTCATTCTCCTAAGAGACTGTCTAACTCTACGAGATTTTGCATTGGCGCTTAATAGGCTGACTCCAATCAGCTGTTTGATCTAGGCCTCATTTTCAACTTTTAATGGACCAAAAACCAAACTCCAGCTTCGGGAAGCGATTTCTGAGGAGTTCCTTGATCCTGTTTGTTGCAGCGGAAACTAGCTGAAAGGTCAAGAGCGATCCGCATGTGGATACGCATGAAAGCCTAATTTTTATGGTCCTTTTGTGCTGCCGCGCAAGAGGATGTGGAACGTGGCATCATAATTTTCCGCAGTGGGGTCGTGAATTACCTACATGTATGCGGCACACGTTACACTGCCGATACCATCGACCGTTCGCAGGCATATCTTTTGAAAGTGTTGACTGGAAAACTTTAGGTTAAACTATGAACGCAGCCAGCTATTGTTCCTTTCGCGACCATTATGTAATGGGGTCCCAATGCGCGTACAAGCCATTAACTTGGATGAGACATGTGTGCTTTTGTTGGTTGACCTGACAACCAGCCTTTTGCAAATAAACAAAAATATCGTTGAATGTATTCCTTGAATGTATTCCCTAAAATCCCCCAGATGTCATTTAAATGGTTGGCATTAGTCTGCTTCAATTTTTGATAACCTGAAGCATTTAACTCACTCCGCTTCATACAGCCAGCCAGGAGACGGCTCTCTGTAGCATTAGAGCATAATAGGCGAGGCCGATATGGCTTCTTTCACTGCTATCGAAACGCATTAAAACAGAGTTGTACAAGAGCTATCCACCTGTGGTTTGTTGCATTCCAAGCTTCCGGTATATCCCTACTATTGCTATCCCTAATTAACTAACTGTTCAAAGTTGCTGTGCGTAAAACTGGCACAGAATCTATTTTTGTAAAAAAGGGTAAATTTATGAATATCTTATGCACTGACACTTATAGGGAACAATAGATAGGAGAGAAGGGTTCAGACGTTTGTAGGGAGATACACGGGTTACTAGCACTCATATTTCTTCAGCCAAGTGGATAAACACTTTTATTTCCAGATTATTAGAAGCAAGTTCAAATTAGACATCCACTCATTTGTCGGATAAAGTAATAAACGGTCTCCTCTCCCTACTGTCAGTAGTGCGCAACCCTCCGTTCCACTATGGACGGAGCAGAGCATGCTGGCCGCACTAAAAAGATTACGATTAGTACTTGCAATAAACTATGACGTGATAGACTGGATCCACACGTAGGGTGCACTACTGCCTTGTAAGTTAAGCGACTTCTAAACAAGGCACTAGCACTGCCGTCTCGGCATTGTTAGTTCCCCAAAAGCTGTAAAACACTGATTCCCGCACTTGATGCTAGTCAATCTACGATTACGCCGACGAGTCGCTTTCTTGGCCTGACACTGTCAAGTTTCATTCACACAGGTTTTCCTGTGGCGTTCCGCCTCCTTAACGCAACGTATCCCGTACGTTGTGCAGGCCAGAAACGGTATTTCTCATTTGATCGCATATTGATAACCAAGTGTTATACCTCGTCAACAGTCACCCTTAGCCCCATTCTCAATTCGTAAATAAATTAAATGTTGGTGTGCTACTGTGTTGTCTTTCTGTCTATACACAGATTCATGTTTGACAACTCTGCCTAAATGACAATGTTTACTGTCTGGTGTGTGTAGGTGTGACAAAACCGCCAAACACCATACCGTCGGAGTACGGTGCACCAGCCGTGATTAGACACGTTCTAAAAGGTATTATTTTGAATGTCAACAGCATTGGTCTATCGGAGTGAACTGGCCCTTTGTTCTTTACCTTGCTATGGCGCGTATCCAGCATGACAGCTATTCCGACAGATAAGTGTACTTCTATCCTTTCACGATGATTGCAGTTTCATCTGTTGACTGTCCATTATGGTAGAATTTGGGTGGTGAAATACATTGAGTCCTCTACTCTCTTTGCCGGCTCTATGCACGCTAATGTTGGACACGAAATCAAGGCAGAATGTGGTTTTGTATGAATAAAATTGCTGTTGCCCTTGCGAAGCATTGTCGAATCACTATGTTTGCGCGTTTCTGAAGAATTCGTGCGTGTCTTCACACGATACATAGTTCATGTGATCACTGGTCGTAAAAATAAATTCAGAAGATCGTAGCTTATGAACTGATTAAGCACAACTAGCTTGAGATTGCTCAAATATATAATGTGAGTACTTTTGCCAAATGGTGCCCTGAAGTGTTTGTAAAAGAATTACACTTGTTTGTATCTTTCACATTCCGTTTTTCCCTCACAGTCGGCCATCCGCAACTTCAGTCTATTTCTTCTCCCGGGCCACGACATATCCGCCAAGTCATGCGCCTACTGCGATTACGTAGCCTCGCCATTTTTGATCCGGCGCGACGTCTTCAACAGGGCCATGAAAACTCCAAACTGAAAGGAGTTGTTTCATTTGTCGAACTGATGCTTTCTGGCATTTTTCGAACCGGTAGGTTAGAATTACAAACTGTGGCTTGCATTGATGTCATGTTTCACGTAGCCGGGCATTATACGCCAAGGGGATGTGGTGTGTCAGAAATTGCAAAGACCGCATGGCTCCCGTTGGCCAAGCAATGGAGCATCGATAGAATCATTTTGCCAGGTGACGTAGACCACCGGTGGACATGCGATGATGTGGAAATTGACTGCATCTCTTTCAAACAGCCCGGGCTAATCATCCCAAGATGTTGCCTCGAAGAGCTCTTCAAGTATATCATGATGTTCATTGACGCAGCCACCCGCTTCAACGTTTCAAACTACATCGTGTCAGGCACTCTCATGGGGGCCGTGAAGATGAACAACGGGATTTTGCCTTGGGAAAAGGATGGAGACGTATGTTGGGACGTTTACAAGCATGCTACAGTCTCCGGTCTAATTGCAAATCACATCACCAGTATGTATGACGTGCAGTTTACCAAGCAGCGCAATGCGACAAAACACGGCACTGATATAGCCAGTTGTAGCCAAACGGGTGCGGCGTATTGCCTGTATCACAGTATACAAGCTCATAATTGGTTTGTCGAACTATACGGAGTTCCAGTAATGCATTCTTATCAACCAAAAGATATGAACAACGTGACCAAAGTGTCTTTGAATGGGCACTGGGTGACCGCTTTGCCAAATCCCGGACGAGCAAGCAGGCATGGTTACGGTGACAATATTTTAGGACATATACAACACTGGAGAGATTACGGACTCCCGACTGGATGGTCGAGATATACAAATGTGGAAGTTGAGCCATTCCTGCCTTGTCCAACGGGAGTTGTACGTCATGCATGTTTATCCGGAAACTATCTGCCTCTGGGAAACATACAATTTCAAGATAATCCGGCATAGTTACCATTATAGTTTGACAATATCCGGTTTGATTATTACTGTTCTAGTTTGATGCAATGTACCCGCTCCGTAGTCCCATGGCTTACTCCCTACTGTGTATAATCATGCGCTGTACGCTGTGGTGCCTGTGATTAGACAGTTCCGTTTACGTTTTCTGTACCGTTCGGTTTTCCATTGGATAATATTGACAGCGTACAGAAAACTTGACAAACTGTTTTGAGTGAACATGTATTTTGTACATGGCTACTGAAAACACCACTGGTTCATTTTATCTTTCTTTTCTCTACGTAATTTACAGCGGTTATTTTATTAGGATGGCAAGCCATCAAAAAACCGATTGTGATTTACCTTCACTACCGACAGGTTCACACCAGGTGTTCATCGACTCATTCAAAATGTTATCGAGCCAACAATGTAGCAACGCAGCTTCATCCAATCAGAGAACCACGGCAGTCACCTCTTAGTGTGGCTTTTGAGCCCAAAGGTTACCATCGTAAACCACAGTCAAATTACTGGGTTGTAGAACTGTCAGAAAGTTTAGCCAGTGGCACCAGCATGAGTAGTAGGCGCTGGATTAGTAAAGAAAAAGCAAATAGGGGCGCGATTAAATTTTTCATCAAGGGTCACGTAAATGAAATATGTATGAACTCAATCTACTACTAAGTGACCTCACGTAAATGATGGACTTATTCCTCTAATCCAGTCTGTGTCCGTGTGTTCAAAATTCTCCTGCGTCAATGCAGCAATGTTACCAGAAACAACATTTTGCGAACAAGCATTTTAGTAGTTCGTCCTCAGGCTAATACGTCACGAATGAATGACATTAACTTACACAATAAATAGGAGTACTCGCTTAATGGCCTAGGCCATCTGGGTGATCAAGCTAGGCGTTTGGTCCCAAAGCGATCAAGAATGTGTGTACGGACACTGAAACATTGAGGTATACAAACCGGTATAACTATCTCATGGTGTTATTATAAACGAAGCCTTTGACTGATAAAATCGCGGGGTTAGTACTGTACTCAACACATTTAAACAAGTAGTGCTGGCGGAGCTCAGTGGTCTAGTGATGGAGACACTAGTGGTGAACGCATACGTGCTGTATTTCACTCCCCAGCTCCGGTCGTGGTTGCGAACACGAAACGCTGTAACTTCGTCATCCCTCGCATAACTTCGTGGGGACTCAGCTGCAGCGGCTGATGTTGAGCTCCGTACCTTAACAGCTTATCGGACGCTTGTAGCACTGTTGGTCATCTGCGTTCTTCCGCACTCTTAGAGCATGGTGTACATCTCGGATATACTTTTGCTGCTTGAATTCCACTGAAACAAGGAAATCCACTTGTGGTTCCAAATAAGAATACCATATGACGCTGTTTGTGCAAGCTCATAAACTACCTACATGAGTCTAACAGTAGGCACGAGTCAAGTCATGGTAAGCTTTAGATAGCCGAATGGATGCATTTTCAACATGCAGTATCTAATGTGAATGAAGTACAATTCCATCCTAAAACTTGCCAAATTATTTAAGTGAATAGACGAAAAAGAATAATGCAATGCTGTCACTAGTGTTAAAGGGTCCGCGTGCTTAGGCACCAAACGCAAATTGACAAACAGAATACTTGGGCTATTTTCATCACCGAGAGTAGAGTTTACAGTTATTTCTGCAGAATTGGTTTTAACTGGACTAAAAGGTCTTGGCCGAAAGCAGCAAAGCACGAATATTGCTCGGTAACTCGACTTAATATTCAAAGTGTGGAGAGTAAAACCGTCTTGGCGACCTTGGAAGCCCTTCGGACAAAAAAATGTCAAAATATTCCTTCAAATCGGATATATTCGCAGTATATAAACAAAAATAATGTTCAGTAAAAGGCAATGGCTGATTTAAAAGCCCTGACAATGATTCGAGGGACAAGGTCACGTGAGATCGAGTGGTGGCTAAATGCTAACTGATTGGTGCACCTTACGCTGCTGTGGTAGGCCCAATGTCAATATTAACTTACCGCGGCGAATTGGGCTTAGTGATCAGAGTTCACTAAATGTCTTTGGCTCCATGAGGCATCCCTACTTTGCGATTAATATGGCTCAAAAGCTAAGAATTCCACTTGTCCGCGTAATCAGGTTGACATGCTTTTTTCAACGCGCCAACAAAACTCCCGAAATCTTCTACTGTAATTTCATATAAAGCTATCCGTGGGTTTGAATACATCAAAGAAATAGTTGTATTGAAGTGTGATGACGAGTGCGGAGCGATCATCCTTAACAGGCCGGATTACTTCTCTAAGATGGAAACAGGTATGGTAGCCAAACATTCACGCTAGATACCCAGTTAAGTAGAGTCCGCTTGGGTTAAGAACAATGGTGTTGTGAACTGCAGATCTTGCAGCCTCACGGTTTCATCTCGGAAGACCTGGATAGAACGCTAAAGCCTGGGTACTCATATCCCTCAAAGTTGGGAATGGCCGAAGGTGCACGCTTTAGCGATCCCTATGTTGTCAAGTGTTCATTTGTTCTCTGAGCTTGGCGGTTTAGTTGCAAACGTTTCACCACTATGCGAGGTGGCATCCCCAACGTAGTGGGATGCGGCGTGCAATCTTGCTGAATGAATCGTCGATCCATGATCGACCTGCGGGTGACTTTTGAAAGTGGTAGTCTCGATTTGCATCCCGTGACCTCTACCCACTTTCCCCACGACTGAAGTCGGTGCCCGAGTTGTTCTGCCTCAAACCGCGTGACAAAAGCTTCTTTATTGCTTTCTGTCGAAGTGTTTGGGTATATTGAATCGAGGTCGACACACATGTTGATTGACTTTAACTCCACCAACACCAACTCACCAACTTTTGTTCCCGTTTTAACATTAAGCACATGAGAGCTCCGCCGTGCCAGTCTCAGTCGAGTGGTAAAGCCGAACGCTTTGTCGATACCTTTAAGCGAGCGCTTCTGAAGTCGCGTACGGAGGGGACTACTGATGAAGTTCTGCAAAGATTATGTTGTTGGTGTCTCAAAATACTCCCAATTTGGCGATACCCGAGGGTTGCTCCGCAAGCGTAACTCTGATGAGTCGTAAACTTACCCGTAAAACCGATTCGCCTACCTGCCTTCCTTAGCACGGATTCATCAAGCCTTCAATGTTGGAGCACCCGCATACCCTCGGGACTACAGACGCCGACATAATGAATGGATCGAAGCTGTTGTTATCTCATTGTGGATGAGTACGTTATGTTGTACTTGGAAATGACGAAACACGGAGTAGGCACGGTAACCGGTTCTGTCCAATGCACGTGAGCTCAATGAAAGAAAGGCATGAGTTATCGACCGCTCCCGCTAGATATACTACTGGACACTTGCTAATCCGTCATTGAGTGCCATAAATTCCTCACTGCAGGAAGATGCGGTAGATGCCGGAATTTATCCTCTTCGGCGGACCGATCGGGGCGGACGCCCAGTAAATCCCCTGTAGTCGAACCCCAGGAAGCGAAGCTACAGGTAAGCAGACATGAAAAGGAAATTGTTGGGAAATCAACTTCCCATCCTCAAACTGTCTTCGAGATTATTATCAGAAGTGAACCTGTGCTTGTTTATTTTCATGGTTGCCGTCTCTTCTCTTAATCTAGCGCCACATTTTTGTCAATTCATGATTCGGCACCTAGCCTCGCAACCGCTTTTCGGGTTTGCTATGCTTTGAATATTGCTGGTCAACTCCTTCTCCACTTGAGCGGCCGTCAGACGTTGTTTTGTTGGCTGGATTACACACTTTACTCGGAAGTCAGGTTTTTACTCTGTGCGCTTGGCGCTTCAGTGAAACGAGTGATCCGAGCGATTATCCGAGGATAGTTGGATTCATAACATCCGCATCCAAAGTGAATCCTATTGGAAAGCAATTCAATTCACCAAGAGCCACAGCGGAAACTGCTGTCAATGAGCCTACTTCAGGCGCACATCAATGTGCGAATAATAATGCGGTAGTCAAGGTAGCGGAAGGGTGAATATCCGTCTCCTCGCTGACTTCGATAATCAGCACTGTACAGCCTTAGGTGCTGCAGTCTGCGCTAGTAGGGGGGGGGGTGAAACAACCCTCTAACAATGGAAATTGGGTGTTGCCTGCCCGAAAACACTGCAGATCATTACGCGTTTCGAGCTTGTTTGCTCTCATCAGATGGAGATATCAAGCATCGAATCCGGGACCGTTGGGATATTTATTGTGACCGCTAAGCCTAACTCACGAGATTACGACCGGCAACGCTTAGTATGACGGTTACTGACTGAATGGAGAGTCAATCTGTAGTGCACGCTCTGTGAAGGTATAGCGACGCGCATTCTCAACGGGGAGCGTGATGCCCATTGTAGTGAAGTTTGGTCAGTCGATCACTAGGTCTGGAGCTGAAGCAGATGGCAACTGGGTGTTGCCCAGCGGAAAACATTGTTGTGCCAAACATTGCACGTTACGACAGAGTGGCTTAGGGGTAGCGGTCACAAACAACATCCCAATGGTCTCTGTTACCATGCCTGCTGTCTCTATCTGAGGAGAGCAAATGCGCTCGAAACGCGTAGTAGATTGTAGTGTTTTTGGGCGGGCAGCACATAGTTTGCATCTGCTTCGACTACGGTCCTACTGATGGAATGCTCAAGGTCCACTTTAATGAGAATCGCGCTCCGCATTGAGATTGCACGTCGCAATACATGCACACAACAAGCACTTCAAAATGACTCTCCAACTCTCTAACGATTATGGTTGCTTTACTTTGGAGAACTTCAACTACGTCAACTTCGCGCTTGAGCCAGAGACACCAGGCATGCATCGCGTATTCCACATACAGCCTCACATAGGTGTTCAGAATTTGCAGAAATATTGATGGCTCGAAATTTCCGAAAGCCCTCTGTAAGTCCAAGCTGCTGACTAACCTTTTCCGATGCCGTTTCTGCCTGTTTCGAGCAGGCAATTTCAACCTGTACCATCACTCTGTGGTCCCTTTCCTTGGAAGCATGTTGCAACCGCTGGGTCC